TAAAGGAAGAGGATATCTTTTTAATACAAAGGTCTTAACTGCCCTGCTCCACAGCACAGCAAGCCCCGATTGTCATCCACCACGCGTTACGAAACCCCAGCACAGTCTGGTGGGCAGAGGGAGAGCTGTCACAACAGAGGTATTGGGCAAATGTGCGGGGTGCAGCCGTAGGGGAGAGCCGGTCTCGCACTGGGTGCTGGGGAGCTGATAGACCCAAGGAACCAATGTGGAAGGCCACCCACACCCTTACGAACCCTGTCACTCTGCCCAGCACTTCTCAGCAATCGACAACGCCTCTGGCTTCAGACTGTCTCTGCCTCGAGGCTCTGATCGCGTGCAAGGCCACTCAGTTCAAACCACAGGTTCTGCAGCTCAGGAGAGCCCAGGGCGGCTCCAAACTGTCCTTCAGTCTATGAGCAACACACGCTCCCCCACGGCAGCCTAAACACACACTCCCCCACAGGAGCGCTCTGCCCAGAACCAAATACCCTGCTCAGAGGAGACGGAGAAGGGGCAGCCAAGGGCCTGGGGAAAGGCAGGATGAAGGCCTGATGCAAATACCAACGAAGGACACTTTCTGAGGAAACTTGCTTAATATCCTTGTTCCACTGCAGGGTGGAATCTGGAGCCTGCTTACGGGAAACAGCACCAGTAAAGGGGGAAGAAAGAGACCGAAATCAGCCTCAAGCATTAACTCAGTGCTGCAGCAGAGGGAACTGACCTTCTCCTCCCCTGCCTGCAGCTATTTTCCTGTCTCCCTCCTCACAGCATAGCAAGGACCCATTCTAGTCCCAGTCTCCCCCAGCTTTGAAATCACTCCCACCTCAATGATCTGGGGGCTGTTCCCTCGCACAGCATAGTGGAAAACGGTCTCCCCGTTCCTGTCAGTAATGTCCACCCGCGCGTGGCACTCCAGCAACTCCAGCAGGCACTCCATGTCTCCTTTGCGGCACGCCAGGTGCAGCGGGGTGCAGCCATCCTCGCTGTCCGTGCTGTTCACGCAGCTGCAAGAGATGAGTCAACGTGAGACCAAGGAAGGGCTACGAAGACGAGGACATGCAGCCGCCCTGGGAGCTGATACGAAGGTACCTTCCACGCCTGTGACAGGCCCAGCTGGCGAACCAGCTTCATGAAAGCCTGGCCCTCTTGCCAGGGAAGGAGCACAGGGAAGGGCTGCCAAGCAGCCCTCCCATGGACCCTCTCCCTGACACGCTGCTCCTTCCTCTGCCCCCAATATAGGAGTAGCTCCCCCTGCCCAAAGGAAGGCAGGAGTCAGGTTACAGTCAGCAACCTGGCAGGGGTGCTGCCATTAGTCCCCCAGTCCCCTAACTCCTCACTAGCCTCCCCTATCCTCAATGAACTTCCACATGGAAAGAAAGCAAGGGCTCGTGACCAAAAACCATTTCCAGAAAGACAGTCCTACTGTACCTCCTCTCTCGTGATTTACAAAGTCAGACACAACCCCCTCCAAAAAGCAGCTCAACAAGAATCTAACTAGTGCCTCCAGCAAAACACTTAAATCCTTTAGCTCAAACACCAGAACTCCAGGCTTTAACGTCCGCAGCAGCAGGTTGAAAGCCCGCCAATAAGCTTACACAGTGACCATCGGACCCCTTTGCTACCACATCTGTCATTCAGGCAAGACACTTTTAAACTTGACCTCTGCAGCAACCACAGGTGTTAAGCTCCTCCAAGAAGCAGCCCCCTTCGCTTCGGTACATCAAGCCGGGATACCCTAATCCGGCACAGCCTGCCCTCCTGAGCTCGTTCCCAGCACCAGGCCCACCGGAGACCCCTCCGACCTCTTGCCTCAGAACGTGGTTGTGCCGGAAGTTCTCACGATGGCCGATCTCCACTGCGATGTGTGCCAAGGACCAGCTGGGGTGGTTGCGGAAGCAGTCACTGAGCTGCTGGAGATCCTCCAGGGACAACGGCTGGCGCGAGCTCTCGTAGAAAGGGCGCAGCTGCCTGGCGTACTGCTCAAAACGCACCAGGGCATCTGCTTCATTGTCAAGCTGGAAGAGCCTGGAAGAAAGGCAAACACGGTGTTGGTCCTGCTCAAAGAAACAACCTCCACCCCATGTATCTGAGAGAAACGGCTCTTCTCCAAACATTAGTGCTGGGGACCTTCCCATTTCTCCTCATCTGGTGTCATGCTCATTCCAGGGGAAGAAGGGAGCCTACTTCGTTAGCAGAGAGCATCTCCCCTTCCTGAGGAACATTAACTTTTGGGCTGAAGCATCCTGTGCTCCAGATGTTCAAGCAGTAACTGGTACGAGTGGAAGGGCATGTACCTGTGGGTGTCCTGACCCGAGTACCTATTTCACAGTTGCCTGTTTTTACAATGTTTGGACTCTGTCCTGCCCTGTTCTCACAGAGGCATGTTCTGATGACAGCTCCTGCACCAGCACACGCAAGGGCCTCCCACTCCTCACGAGCCCACCTGCTGACCAAACACTTCGCCCCACGCCCACAGCCGCCAAGCTCTGAGGTCCTGAGATCGGAGATTTCGGGTCTTTAGCTTTTTTCGCTTGAGTAGCGATTGCTAAAGGTCCGTCACTTACCGGAAAGCGACCTGCGGGCTCTGGGGATTCACCAGCAGGCAATCCCACGAGCGAGCGAGGCTGTTCTTATACAGGGCCACCCTGCCTTCCTCCCGCAGGCAGGCGTGAGCGGCATACTCCGCAGCCGGCACCTCCTTCACCCGGTATGGGTTCGTGAATATCTGGGTGACGCTGTTGATGGTATTCACCAGCCGGCCAAAGAACTGCATCTCTCCGGAGCCTCAGGCGGCTTCTCCCCCACCGCGCCCTGAGGGAAACCCGGCCACAGGCTCCGCCCGGCCCGGCCCGGCCCGGCCCTTGCCCTTCCCCGAACTTCGCGACCCCGCGCCAGGAAAGCAGAACCGAAAGGCGCCGGGGTGACACACCGCACGGGAGGAAAGCCCGGCGCCGGCGGCTTCGGTCCTTGCTCCTCCCGGCAGAGAGCCCCCCTCTCCCCAGCGGCCCA